TGGCCATGTGGAGGAGGTGATGGATCCGGAAAAAAAAAAACAGTGAAGCTCAAACAAGAGGCTTCTCTGATTGTCGCTGCGGCTCCCTGCAATCCTGGGGGGGGGGGTGGGGTCTTCTGCCTTTGGGTCACGGATCCGGACGTCGCTTTTGGTTCAGTGTCGGATCCGCAGAGAGAAAATTTAAAAAATAAACGCAGGAGGCGGATTTGCTGGTGGATAAGTCCGGGACTCCTTTCGTAGGATTCGCATCATCTGATTGGCGGTTTTACTTCGAACTCCCAGAGGAGCTGAGAGCCCATGGGTGGGGTGGGGGGGGGAGGGGGTGTATTAAGAGGGGAAGCTGCCTTTCCGCAGAAGAGGTCATTTGCGTGGGCAGGGCTGGGGGTTCAATCAGAGACATACGAGCCACCGGCGAATTCTCAAAAATATTCCCAGAGCCACACTTTTCCGGCGCCTTCCGCAAACACAATCCGGAGCCCGAAGGCCAGGAGGTCCATGTGGAGAGGTTCACCCAAGCCGGGGATTCACTGACAATCAGGCGAAAAAAGCAAAAGATGAAAAACGACCCAGTAAATCGTTCCTGGAAAGAGTGAGATGGGAGAGAAATGGAAAGCTCTGGTGCGGGGGGTGGGGGTGGAGGGGGGGGGGGGGGGGTGCTATCAGATTAGATTTATACCCGCTGATACGGAAAAGTATCCAGGGCCATGTTCTCCAGGGCCTCAAGGAACAAGTTCTTCATGTTTTGGGAGAAGGACCCGACGTGGTTCCGTAGCGAAAATCTCCCGGCCTGGGGGCTGTTAGCGAGGAACTGGGGAGGGTTCCCACACTGCCCCATGGACAAAGAGCAAAGAGCAAATACACATGACCACACCTTAAGAAGAATACACAAGAGCAGCGAGAGAAATTATGTAAATATCGCGCATATAAACCATACGGCAGCAGGCTGCTTCCACACATATACGACAGGACGCTGTAAACACAGCCCTGAGAGGACCCCCCCCCCCCCTCAAAAAATAAAAAAACGTGCTACAAACTTTTCTTTCCGACGTCCTCTCGGTTAACAGTTCTATTACCATTTTCCCAGAATGCCGAGCTGCTCTCCTTCCTGCCCGGTGCGGGGAAACAGATTAAATCTGCATTCAGACACCCTTCTTGCCCCCCCATTGAGTGCCTGTTGGCTGCCCTATTTAATTAACAGCTATTGCGCAATACTCTGTCAGCGGGAACAGAGATTAAACTTCAGGCTCGCCTTTCGCATCCAAACGCACACGGCCGATCCTCCCAAGCGACACAAGTACACAAGTACACCAATACACAGCGACAAAAGTAGCTGATAAGATCAGTTCTTAGGTATATGTACTGTATACACACACACATATATATATATATATAGATCAAATGGTTACCCTGGAGTATCACGCGAAACCTTTTTTTTTATCAATGTCTAATCAACGGGGAAGTGGTTCCGGTGTCGTAAACAGGATATGAGCTTCCAATCAGAGTCCACCCAGCCGGAACCACGCGGTGTCCGTCCTACGCAAGCAGCTACCAGTTCTTTTGATCAGAGACGTCAGCACAGCACTGAGTCTGAATCGTCCCTCAGGGGCCGCACGGGGCCCTCGGCTCATCCCCAAAGCTCTGCGCAGGACGGCCTCGAGACTCGGGGACAGGCGGGTCGTCCAGAGCCGTGGTTCTCATATGGTTTATCCCCAGGATCCACATTTGTCCTTAGCCATTGATTTCCGACCCAAATTTTTAAAAATTTTGCACCCAATTTGTTTCACATGAAGTAAACAGAACATAGCAGGAACAAAAGAACAAAAGTGCAACATTAGAAAAAAAAATTTAAATGATTTTTTTTTCTTTAACACATGCTCTGCAACCCGGTGAAAATGCCCCCCCCCCCGACCCACTTTGAGAAGCAGTGGTCTTAAGGTTAATGCTCGTTCATCATCTGGTGGTTCCCATGCATCCGTTGGTTAGCCAGGAGCATCGCTGGCGTCTTTTGACATCTCTACCCAACTGTCAGACACCCTCCCCCCCGCCGATCTGATCAGGCCCCTCTCCCCACCCGAAAAGCCCCCCTCAAATGTTCTTCTCCATTTCCCGGTCTCCTTGCATGCCCCGTGTTAAGAAACACAACTCATTAATCTCACAGTTGTTGTAAAACATTTTAAAATCAACAGCAGACTGTTTTTTTTCACAATAGAATTCTTTTATATGTCTGCTTTGCATTGTTTGGGCTGCAATAAAACAGGTTTATGTGAGATACAGTTTCACGAGAGGCAAGAAAATTTGTCTCAGTGTCCGAGGCGTGGCTGCCGTCCGCCTGGTGGAGGCGCTCTGAGAGCTATTCGGAGCAGACAGATAGTGTCAGAGGATAGAGCTCATTGAGAAAACACCTTCAACAGTCATCCTCCAGGGGGCAGCAGACTTTTCGGAGACAGAGCCAACCCACCTGCCCCAAGGAAAGAGTCTCACTGAAAGCGGGGGTAACTGTATGGGTGGGGCTATGTGGGGAGGGGGGGGGGGCAGCAGTATTGCATCATGCGTGGTGTTTGGGGTGAGGTGGAAGATCATGAACATGGTATGCAGAAAGAAAGAAAGAAAGAAAGAAAGAAAGAAAGAAAGAAAGAAATCCACCTGTCAATAATATGCAGAGCGCCGCCCTGCTGGTGGTGGGTTAGCACCACTGCCGTTAGTGCTTGCACCGCTTACACGTTCGTTGTCGACACATTGATCATACATTTACACCCCATAAAGCCATTTACGCAGGACTCACTGCACATGCTCAGCTGAAGACCATTAAAAAATAAGCAAGAAAATCAATTCTCATCCTGGGTTCTGACCCCACAACCCCCTGAATCACGAAATGCATCAACTCTGAGTTTCCGGTGCAGCGGTTTCAGTCAGTAAAGACACCCCATGCAGGCCCGGCACCGCTCAGGACACAGACATCCAGGATATATCCAGTTCATCCCCAGAGACACCATGAGGGGCTGGTTTTGACGCTCATGAAAGGGGCTGGTCACAGACATGGCGCAGCCCCTTCCCCATAGCCGAAACCTGACACCAGACCCGGTCCGAGGATGCGCGGGGTCCGTGCAGTCAAGGTGCAGTCAAGGTGCAGTCAAGGTGCAGTCAAGGTGCAGTCGACCCCGTCACTGGGATCAGTCCTGCTCAGCGTCTGGACAGAAGTGATAAAATGGCCAAATCAGTGGCCCTCTGCCTGCTGGTGCCCCCTGACTGGACTTCACATCACTCTGCTGTTTATTAAAATACCACAGAGAGCCTCCCTCCCCCCCACCTGCTGCCCGGTAAACAGTCATTAAATTAGCCTCCTTAAGGGAACCGAACAGCACCGGCTCTCATCGGACGCACGGATTTTTGGGCGGAGGAAGCATTTGATTTCTCTGACTGAAAACCAAGTGTCTTTAATCTGGCACACTTTGTATAGCAGCGAGCCCCGCGATCCTGCCAAAAGACAGAGAACCCCTCCCCCCCCTCGCCGTACCCGCCCGACCGCCCACGGCAAACAAAAAGAACACGTCCGGATTTAAAGTCCCAGTGGTTTCCCTCTCTTACTGAAACAAAGGCACTGGGTTCGACTGACACAATTAGCGACTGTGAACCACAAACACACACACACACACACACACACACACAAATGCACTTGAATGTCAGAAATAACCATCCAGTGGAGCAGTATGCATACAATTAGCTTAATGACTTAAAAGCTTTTATTATACACAATTTCCCGCCGATACCACGAGCATCCTGCTGACATATTTTTGGATTACGGGACTACGGGGAGAGATGATTGAGCCTCAGGCTGTGTTTTCCACTTCGCTCAGAGTCACCGCGAGGTCGCGGGGTCCAAACCTGGAACCCGGTTGATGGAGACACCTCAACCAATCACCAATCTCCAATCATCACTTCTCCACAACCCAAAAAATGCTGAGACGCTTCCCTGAAACACTTCAGCAGAAACTGGCCAATCACAGATTCAGCGAGCTCAAGCCAGAGTGTTGCCATGACATTTATGGGGAACCCATGGAATCCAACCTAATCCAGGCCACGCCCATACAACAGGCCACACCCACTCACCAGGCCACGCCCATACAACAGGCCACACCCACTCACCAGGCCACGCCCATACAACAGGCCACACCCACTCACCAGGCCACGCCCATGCATAAGGTCAAGCCCCTACACCCACAGCATACACGGGTGGGGGGCCGCAGATGGGTGGGCTGCTGCAGGATCGGGATCGGGATCGGCGGAAAGGGAGGGTAAAAAATGAGGCCAACTTACGGGACAAGGAGTGGCTGCCTTTGGGCAGGTACTCGTAGAGAAGGGGGTTGTCCTCGCCTAGCATATCAGGCCGCAGTGACAGGAGGCTGTTCTTGCTCATCAGTGCCGCCCGCAAGTTGGCCACGGAGGCCGCTTGGCTGGCAGCGTCCTCCTTCTCGGCAGCGAGCGACTGTGGGAGGAGTCCAGCATCCCCCGACAGAGACTCCTCCTGCTTTACGAAGAACTCCAGCCGGTTGGTGCGGCTCTCTGAGCCGCTAGGCTCCGTATCGTCACCGCCTGAGGAGGAATGCAGAGAGCATGACCTGTCAGTCTCATGGGGAGAGCCAATGAGAACAAAGAAAACCTGTATGGGGGCGGGCCTTTCTGAATAAGCATGGGAACCTCAAGGATTTCATCAGCCGATTTTGTGCCGAACGACATAAGATCATCTTGTGTGGGGGGGAGGCAACATTTACATCTGAGCAGCCCCCATCAGATGATCCACGGAGAGGCAGCTACTCTGGGTATGGGCTGGGGGGGCCGTTTGAAACAGCTGTCAGCAAACAGCCTCTTCTGCTGCCCCCCCTTTCCTGTCTGCACACATCTGTCAAACCCCGAAAGTGACAGCGCACTGAACACGACTTCTACAGTTTACCGATGCCTCTCGAAGATCCACTCAGTCTTTAACGGGGGTTGTGTGGGCTTTTTACACCTCCCCCCACCCCGAACATGCAATGACAAACGCAAGTATCGATGGTGTAACCGCTGGAGATGCAGGACCAGATGATGGCACAAGGCACGAGGTAGGAGCACGTCTGGGGAGAGGCCGTGCTATTACACTTAACGTGGGGAGGCAGGTCGCTACCGTGACCCCAAAGACGGGGACGCATCATTAGAGGGACCAGTGAATGGGGAGAGTGAGGAAGAGGAGAGCTGAAGGTGATGTCAGCACAAGGGTCTGGCTCACTGGGGATAAGGCACCTGATCTCCAGCCCCCCTCGACCGAGCCGGCTGGTGGCCCCCCCCACTCCACACACCTGTGCTTTCCCAAGATCCTGGTGGGTCTCTGTTCAGCCCTCAATGTCAGACTGTAATTTACCACAGCAATCTCCCTAAAGCATCTGCAGGAATGCACACACACACGAGCACACACACACGAGCACACACACACGAGCACACACACACGGCCGCTCGTCACAACAGCGTTACGCAAAGCAGCCGCCTGTGCACACCTGAATGGGAGCCCGCCCACCCCCCCTCGCAGTCGCCGTCTTAAACCTTAAAGCCGGACAGGAAAGGGCGTGGGTATTTTGGACACGGGGGCGGGATTAAGGCTTTACGGGCGGAGGATAAGAGGCGAAGGGGGACGTGGGTGTGGGGGCCAGTGACCCTCCGGACGATGTCGCCATTCGTCGCCCGGGTAGCGGTCTGTCATCGCTTTTCGACCCGAGTCACAGCTGAGCTGCGGCTCCCTAAATAGTCGGTGGAGCTCGCCGGCGTGCCAGATACGCCAACTGGCTGTTACGACACTGACGGATAAATTCCTGGCTCCTTCTGCTGCTGATGCTGCTCGGTGTCTCGCCTGAAAAACTCCTCTTTGTGTGGACCCTAGGGGGCGCTGTGTGGTCCCTTGCTGTCTTCTTGGACCCAGGTGCAAGGACAAGTCGTCGAACCGGTCGCGCCTATCGTGCAATAAGGCTGTCTGGTCGCATTGCGGGTAACACCAGTCTCCCCGGCGGAGTCCTGAGTCGGGCACAGAGTCTCATGTTGGCTCTCGGGAAAAATATTAAGGAATAAAAATTAAAAAACAGGATACAGAGATCTGAGAGGCAGCGAACAAAGGAAAATAACATAAAAGAAACAATAATAAAGATGAGGACAGAAAACAGGCGGTCTGGGATTGGTGGAGGTCCTCAGCTATTAACACCCGGAGGGTCATGGGGTCACATGGCTCTGAGTACCTCTGAAAGTGGCCCAATTGTGCTCAGAGATCCCTGGCAGCTCATTCAACGCAGCTTGACGGGGGTGGGGGGTTGGTGGCTGGTGGATGCCAAAGTGGCCCTTTTAACCTAAAGGTTTCAGGATGAGTTGGGGGAAAGCTGGGCATGTGGCAAGGCAACCGAAACGTGGGTGATTATTATTTATAGTGCAATGGATTGTGGGAAAAATGCACAACCTCCCTCAAAAACCCATAAACGTCAAACAAGTGGGGGGGGGGAAGGGGGTGTTTAAGGCTCGAGTAATGTGGGCAAGCAGAGCTGGGGGGCACACGCATAGCACATGAACACCACACACCCGCGCACGGGGGCCCGCCGCGACAGAGTTAATTAAGGTGGGGGAGCTAGGGTTGGAGTCGGGGTGACATGGTGGAGGAATTCATTAAAGCCACCCACCCCTCACCCGTGGGATGGAGACACACAGTAAATCAATAAAATAGATTTGCTCTTCCTCACAGGAGGACAGAAACAACAAAAATAAAGTGAAGAGCGACAGAGCTGGCCGTCACGAGGCGATACACACTCGAAGGGCACAACAGCGCCCCCGAACATTTATTTAAAACGATAAAACACGACTGAATGCACCTTCACATCTGCGTGTAAGGCCCTATACATATATATAAACACATTTTTTTACACATTTTACATCCGAAGTGATTTTCTTTGTAGCTAGGCTTCCATCTGCATATAACCAGTCCGAATAATTTAGATTTTTTCCTTCTGAAGATATTCTCAGTTTAATTTGGTTTCCATGGCAGCCAGCCACCCTTGGCTTCAACATTTATGCTAAATAAAACACCCTTTTAAGAGTAGACACAAATAGGCGGATGCACTGTGCTGGAGTTGGGGGGAGGGGGGGGGAGTCGAGTGTGCTGCTTTGTGTGGGAGGCTGTGCTATACCACTGTATATTAAACTGGAATGAAAAAAGGGGAGGTGAGCCCAAGCAATATCCCCCCCCCCCTTGCCCGAGGAGGGAAGGGAAGGGGTCAGCTGACACTGTTTGACCTCCCCGCCCTTTTGTTCTCCAGCTGCCGGAGCAAGCGCCCCTCCCTGAGTGAAACTCAAAACTCCTTTGTTTCTGGGAGTTTCGGGGTGTCTCCGGACGGTCTTTTCTCTTGGAAAGAAAAAGAAGAAGAAGAAGAAGAAGAAGGAGCAAAAAAGACAAAAAAATAAACAAAGCAGCAGGTTTTTCGAGCACCGGTCGGGAACCTGAAGGAGTGTCAGATACGGGAAGGAAGGAACCTTGCGGATCCGCGCTGCTGCCCGTCTGCCCCCCCCTTCCCAAAGGCCAGGCTCCTTCAGGCCATGAGGAGGGGCCTTGCTGATTTTAATTAGCCGATGGGATAAACTTGTTAAGGGTGGCAAGCTGGGCGTTTCGGCTGGGGGGGCGCTCGTCAGTCCGAATGGGACCGGCCGGGAGCACAAAAAGCCGGGTGAAAATGGCTCTGTCTTTCGGCCAATTAATGTATCATAACACCATGGGGAATATGGGGGGGTGCATTACACGATGGGGGGGGGGTGGCGTAGCGAGAGCGTGGGCACCTTGACTAAGATGGCGTTTTTTGCAGCAGGGGGGAGACGCCTTGCCGGCATTCTCCATGGGAACAAGAAACAGGGTGCCGGAGCATGGTGGGGGGGGGGGGGGGTCCACGAGCCGCATCGGCCAGCTATGGACACGACATGCAGTGCCGAATCCACGAGGGCTTTGGTGGACGAAGAGTGACACGAGAAAAGCTGTTCGCTGCTCCGCTAGGCGCCGCGCTTGGCTCAGCCGGACCGACACGGCGGGGGGAAGCATGAGAAACGCGAGACGCGGCACTCACGAGAAGCGTTATGTAACGGCGTGCTGTGCGAGCGCGGGGTGGTGGAGGAGCCGCGGCTCGGCTTTGAGACTTAATATCCCAGCATGCATCTGTGACGCTGCCGCCCCATCGACGTTAACGCTGTTAGTGCGAGGCGCCCAACCTCGCGGAGGATGGAGTCGGCGACAGACGTGACTGGGTGGGGGCGGGAGGGGGCTCATCAGCCACGTTCGGATCACCGTCAAAAATGGGCAGGGGCGGCACTGCTGCGCCCGTGTCGGCATGACAGGCGTCGAGGGAGGGAGGGAGATAGGGGGCGAGGGAGGGGTGGAGGTGGGCATAGGATGGGGGGGGGGGCTGAACTTGCCTCCTCAGCACACCAAAGTTTGAAAGGGTAAGAACCAATTTCCAAGCAAAAGGGGAGGGAACCACTAAAAAAACTCAAGAATTCAGAGGCAATTTAAAAGCCGTGTGGGAGATGGGAATGCAAAAAATGCAGGGCGAGAAAAAACGAGGCAGGGAGGGAGGGAGGAAGTAAAGAGAGCCCTGCTATTTCTCCCTCTGTTGTTTTTAGGGACTAACCGGGCCACAACCCCCACAGAGAGAGAGAGGGAGAGCGGGAGATAGGGAGGGAGAGAAGGCGAGGATAAATCAAACAGGCCCTGAAGGCTGGGGGGGGGAGGGGGAGAGCCGAGCCTGTGTTTGGGGGGGGGGGGATTGCAGGCTCAAGGTAATCTGGGGAGTTAATGCAGTTTAGCAGAGCAAGACTGTGAAGGGGTGGGGGGGGTGAGCCTGGGGAAGATGGAATGCAGGGTGGAGGGGAAGCAAACACACACAGCTTTGTGCTAAAAGGAGACTCGGGGGAGGGTGGGGCCCTCGCAATCCGGGGCGGGGCCCGTGGATCGGGCTCCTGAGGGCGCCAGGCACGGCAGACGCTTTTAGACACCGCACCGAGCTCTCCGCAGCTCCAAGGGAGGGGGATTTGAGAGCACCCCCCCTCCCCGTATGAGTGTACACGGCCACCCCCTGGCAGGACTACCTACACGGTGCTCCCCAGACCAGTGGCCCGCATGTCCGTGTTGACATCACAGGACGATTACATCAGGGTGGCCCCGCCCCCGTATCCATGACAACTCCCTCCGTCAAACACTCTTAATTTAGGAAATAACGAGGAGCTCGACAGGCCTAAGAGGATCGGCCGCACCTTGGCCATGGAACGGCGGGGTAGCTGCACTCCCCTTCCGGAAGCTTCCGCTGACCGGACACGCCCCGCTCTCAGTCACTGACTCCTGACCACAGTGCTCAGACACTCCGGCCTCCGCCAATGATGGAGCCCAAGATAGTGGAGAGAGATTCCGGCACCCACACCCATTAGAGTTCAAATCTCACCGGGGCACGGTAACAGTCGATGCGATTTGGCAGTAATGGCTTCGGCAGAAGAAATAAAATCCAGATAAAAGGTTTTGTTGTTTTTTTTTCCCCGACGCCCTCTCACGA